AAGCGTTCCCTAATAAAGGCGACTCCATACCTAGGGACTCCACTCCACCACAACCCTGATTGGTTCTTTGATATGCTTTCGTCTCTTTATTAAAGCAAATAGATACATTAAAAGTGTTAAATATAAGCTAGCACCAACAAAGTTTAAGGTTGTCGAATAATTTTCTGAAATTGCTAATGGCGTGTCGGTCAAATAAAACTCTACAAATAATTATTTAGTTAATAGAATACTTTCTTTTTATAACAAAGACGTATATATTAATATATTTTGAAAATTTGTAATTTTAATATCGTTTGTCGCAAGTGATGTGATTTTTATACGAGTTATAACAATGACATAGAGAAATCCACACGATATAAGTATATATAGTCAAACTTCTCTCTAAAAGCTTTATTTGTTTTGAATGTTTTTGGATGTTATAATAAATTATCGTTATAGAAAACATATCACTGTATTGGTATAAATATACATTATGTAACAGTTTTTTAAACTCCTTAAAAACGGTGTCATATTAAACATGCTTTCATAAAATTATGGAGTATATAACTTTCTTCCCCCTAAATGGCTAGTGTAAAGTTATAGCATTATTTTCTTTTTTTCTTTTGGACGGTCATGAAGTTTTTGCGCTCTCCATCTCACAAGAAACTAGTCAAAACAATCTGTTATACGCCACTTACAGGCACAAATAACTTGAGTCGAAAAGAATAAAGTTTTCTACATGGAGGAACAAAAAGGATGACGAACCTGCAATTTGAACTTTGAACTTGCTGCTATGAAGGAGAATGGAGTTCTCTTTGTATTTGTAAAAAAAAAAATTGAATATTCGTTGCTTTTGGGATATATTAGCAGACTAGAGGACAAGATAAAGAATTGGAAAAGACCATAAATTGGGGCTTCAATCAACAAAAAAGATCTTGACTTTTAAATTTAATACATTTCAGTTCCTTTTTAAAACTTTTGAGCAATTACAAGCTGACTTTTTGAGAATTTGGTTATTATATGAAGGACTTATTCTACAAATTTGATTTTAATTTGAAAAAGTCTCTGGGGCTTCACTATAAAAACGCGTCTCAAACGCCCAGGCATATGCTCCGAACGCCCAAACGTACGCCCCGAATTGCTAGGAGTACGTCTCTTGAGATTTTCGCCCCACCATCACCTTTGGGTATTTTTGGTGCGCCTCACTTCGAAAACTTGAAATATGTTCAAATTCCCAGCATGAAAGCTATTCCGCATATATGTAATTCATGAATTTTGTCCCAAAAAAATTGTCGGCGCAGGCTTATACGGAGTAGCGTTTGTGAAATATCTAAGAAATAATTTTCCTTCTAAAATTAAATTATTGTGTCCATGCTAGCACTTCTCCTCTATTCGCAGCCCCAACGCTTTCAATTGAAGTAAAATGTTTCTTTTTTTTTTTTGGTGAAAAAATTAAATTATTATTATTAGTATTAGTATTATTATTTAGGTGAAGCAGGTAAAAGTTGAAATATTCAGTAGATAGGATTGATCTACACAAACAAATGACGCAACTTGCTTTTTTTTTTTAAAAAAAAGTTTAGTGTTAAACAAAATTCTTAAAAGTCCGTGACATTCACTACCATGCTATATTGGACCAAGCTATTTGGTCAAATAATGAAAAGTAGTAAAGGAAGGGTAACCAATATGTATTGAGGAAAATTCTAACAATTGTATTGACAAAATGCTAAGTACATAGATTCAAACGCCCAAAAAAAAAATAGAGTTAAACGAAAAGATTAAAAGAAAACGTATATCATTTGTGTTATATAGCCAATTCTTTTGGCCATAGGCTGAACCAATTATACTATATACTCATTATAGTCATTTTTATAAGGTGCATGTGCACAAAAGAGTAAGTTTATACTCCCCCAACCGTCAAACTTTTTGTCCACATTCAATTCTTTGAGTTAAATTCTTTATTAGATGCCTTTTTCCTTTTCCATCAGAGTTTAACAACAAGTTTGCTTAGATTGTACATGACTTGAACGTTCAATTGCTCGATTATAAATTACTTAAACCTTCAGTCTACTCTATTGGTAATAAAACGTAAAAATAGCACAGGCTAGTCAGTTTTCGGATTGGTCATTCAAAAATAGCCAGCGTTTGTGATGTCATTGAAAAATAGCTACTATTTTGATGCAACAGGGACCGGTCCGGCATAATATACTGGAGATCGGTGCACCTGTGTATGAACTTCCAGCATATTATGCTGGAACTCCAACACACAGAAAGTTCCAGATATACTGGAGATCGGAGTACCTGTGTATGAACTTCCAGCATATTATGCTGGACCGGTATATTATACTGGAACTCCAGCATATTATGCCGGAGTTCCAGTATACTTATGCTGGAACTCCATTATAATATACTGGAGTTTCAGTATACTTATGTTGGAACTCCAGTATATTATGATGGAGTATTTTCCGGATTTTGAACAGTGTTTTCGTTCAAATTTATCTTTACATAAAAAATGGCTAAATTTCGATTACTTTTAAAACTGTGGCTATTTTTGAATGACCACTTGTAAATCTGGTCATTTTTGAATTTCTCGTTCTATATAAACATAATAAGCCTCACTCTTTTGAAGCCAAATTTTAAATATGTATAAAGCATCTTTTATATGGTTTTGCCAGATGTTAGGAACTTATAATTTTCTCATATATAAAATTTCTGTTTGTAATAATAAAGTTGTGAAGTTTAGCTCCAAGATAAATATAAAAGATGCCGAATATTTTAATTTTAGAAGTAAAAAGAAAAAAGACAAATATTGCGAGTGACAACCTTCGTAGGAACCCCTTTTTGTGGGCTTCTGTTTTATTTCATGGCGCAATTATTTATGCGAATAATAAGTTATTTATATTGCAAATAAAAATAAATAAAATATAAAAATATTCCGTACGGCCGCGGCGGACATTTCACGCATACAGCAAAGGTGTTACGCGGTTTTCGGGGGGTGGGGAATTGGGGGGGGGGGGGGGTTGAAGAAAAAGAGGGGAAGAAATATATTTTCGCTCTAGCCCTTGTACTATTCTATTTTAACGTGTGCTCCTCATTTATTCTGCTTTTCTGTTTCTTCCCACCTTATTTTGTCACATACACTTTTTACCCCCTTAGGAAATACCGAGGTCCCCCCCACCCCAACCCCCGCGACTAGAAGGGCGATGAGTAGTCCAGCAGCTTATGTCTCGTTGAGCAATTTAGAATCTAATCCCGGCTTCAAATTGTTGTGCCAATTATCAATTATTAACAGCTAATTGTTTAACCAAAAATTGAGTAATTCGGTCAAAGCTTATTTTAAGAAGTACTCGGAATACTAAAAATCAAGAAATTCTATATTTACTTAATGACAAGAAATGAAATTAAAGTATGAAGTAGCAAAAATAGCCGATAGTAAGCAAAAGAAAGTAATTGTATTGCAATAGTAATCAGAACGTGTCCCCGTACAATGATATCTCTTTCCCTTTTATAGAAATCTATAAGTACACGTTTTTTTCCTTTTATGACCGAATCATTATGAGCATTAATGGCATTAATGAGACGTTATAATTGGTAATCGTAACTGTTTGTGAAGATTCTGTAACGTCCGAGCTCATTCATGCTCATTAACTGATGATTCATGAATCTTTCCTTTTTGATGTCTTGATTTATTCCGTCGGTACCTCTTCAGGTAATTGTTTAAACTTGAGTGTCCTTGTCTTCTCTTCTCGTGGGTGTTTTGCTTGTATCTATTACATTTCGTGCCTCTTTTAATGCATCTTTCCAGCTACCGCTTTCTTACTGATCCACGTATCTTGTCATATCAACCACTCATATAAATCCACGTGTAATATTTATTTTTACCAATACACTAATCAAGTCCCTATGACCACCAAGGTTGTGGCGAGATAGATATTTCGTGTTCGAACTCTTCCTCTTTCAATGGGCTTTGCATAACACGAATCTGGATTGATCGAGCTACAAAGCGGATGCGGAACATCAACCAAATTGATGTGCCAATTATCAATTATTAACATCCTAATTAGGTCCTCATGAACACTAAGGGTAGTGACGGGATTGATAGGATTTCTTCGTCCTTAATAAGAGACTTCATGTTTGAGCTCATTCTCCGTTAATGGACTTTGCATAATGCGAATGTAGATTGGTCGAAGCTCCAAAGCGGATGCGAAACATCAGATGGAAAATAAAAAAAAAAAACCCCATATCCCGAAGAAACTGATTGTTTTGAGTGGGCACTTCATACCTATAACCACTAACAGTTTGTTTGGATGGTTGTTACCTATTGTATTGTATCATAGTGTTACTTTAAATACAATATTTGTTTTGATTGTTACTGAAATTATAGCGTATCTTTAAATCTATCGTTATGTAATGACGAATTTGGTGTGGTGGGATCGTTCCCTTCCTTTTTTTTCTCTCCTCTTGCCCTTATTATTAAATAATTATATTTTATCCTTTACCCTACTTTTTACATAATAATTTTACTCTACTTTTTCTTAGTAATGTTTTAAGTTTATTCGTCATATTGTTGGTACGTGACATCATGAAACGACGGTAAAACAATACAATTTATCCAAACATTGTATTAATCAAACAATATAATAAAATGCAGTACAATAAAATACGATACATTATGAAACGACATATAACAACAATTCAAACAAGCTGTAAATCCAGCTCAATAGACATTTAGAGTGTTTCTTGAAAAAGAAATTGTTTTTGGAAAAAAAGTTATTTAATATGATATTTAGATAGTTATAATTTATTTATTTTTGAAGATTTGTGAATGCAATCAGTTCTTTTATGGATTTATCATATAGATACCTAAGACCACTAAAATATGAGAACGCTGGTAACATACCAATCCGAAGACAGTGTCAACTAAAGCAATCTGTGCAATCTACTTGCATTTGAATTACAAATGCATAATACTATGCAAGCTGTTTGCAACAAGAGAATATAAAAGTCTGTAGATTTCAGTGTTCAAGAACACGATGAATCACATAAACAAACAATTGTCTTCTTTGATTAGTCCAAAGAAATAAGTTCGTTTACCTGAAACACCATATATTAGCAAATGCCCACCTTTATGAGCTTGTCAATAGGCATATATCTTAGAACAAGGACATCAATGGCAAAAATAGCAAGACATGAAATCAATTGTGTCAGACAAGCAACACAAAAAAAGAAACCCCCCACCCACAACGCCCTCCCAAAAACTGTAGTCACCTTAATTAGCGCGGTCATATTCAATGTGTAAAGTTCTGTGCGAAGAATCTTACAGAGTTGCTAACTAAAGCAAAAAAGCTAAGTGACTAAACTCCATATTACTGAGAGTCTGAAATGGGCTTGCGAACCACGAAGAAGTACATTGGTGTGAAAATCCCTTTCCTGAAACAACAGGTTAAAGATGTTAATCATAAAGTTGATCATATGTTCAATATTACTGTATATGAAACTAGTCGACTACATAATATTTACGAGGGAGAGTCATAATCTTACTTGGCACCACCGACAAGACCTTCTGCAGCTTTCTCTAAGAAAGCTTGAACCCTTTGACTACCTTTAGGAGCAAGTCCCACGTATTCAAGTGCCGAAACCTGATAAATCATGTGAAACAGTTTAGGGGTCGTTTAGTTACGTGTATTCTTGTCCCACATTATACCCAAGTAAAATAATACATAAATTCTCATATAAGTTGTACCAAAATTGGTGATACAACATTTGGTTTCTGGTACTAGACTCTGCATAGCTTATGCAGAGTCAATACTGGAACCAAACATAGCGTTAGTTATATGGAGATCATATTAGTTATGCAGGATTTATACCAAAAACCAAAAACTGTACAGGTGATGCAGAACTTTATATGGAGAAAAATTATCTTATACTTCAAGGGAAACAACCCTTTAGTTCATTGTTCTAACTCTGACAATGAACTAATTGGGATGTCAAAATTATCCCCCGCCTTCCATGCAGGTCTACAGATGAACTATCAGAAACAATAAAGAGACAGTGTTGTAAGAAATCTTACCAGATTTCTGGTGAAAAGTCTGCCAACTGCTGTTAGGCGGAAGCTACTGAGCGAGAAGTGACTCGTATCCAAAGGCAAGTACCATGGAACAGGTGAGTCGTCAGCCAGATCCTTGTCCCATACAACCTTCATAGACAAGTAGAGTTTAAATGCAAATTCCAAGGGGAAGTCAACTACTTGATCGCTTTAGAAGAAAAGGACTTGGCACTTACTTCAAAACCAGCTTGTTTGGCTGCTTCGAGGCACTGTGTTGTCAATCTAACCTCAGGGAGGCCATTTCCAAGCTCAATTTCGGCCTTTGGACAATGAAAGAATTAAGATAAGTAAAACTATCCAATAGATTGATAAACTACTTCAATGCTTCAAGATGTACCTTGATTCTCTTGTGCTCCTCGTTATTGGGGTTGTAAGAATCGGTCATGCACCACTCATACACAGCGAAACATTGACCAGGCTTCAGCACCCTGTAAATCTCTTTATAGCATCCAACCTTAAAAGATAAATGTATTAATAACCAACAAACAGTCAATATACAAATCAAAATTGAACACAGTAAAAATATACACACTGGATCTGGTGCATGGCAGGTAGCTTCTATTGCGTACACTGCATCAAAGCTATTGTCAGGGAATGGCATTTTCATGAAATCACCCTGCATTGACACCACACGACAATCAAATCAAGCACTGAACAGGCAGTTCAAAGAAGTTTGACTTGATCTGCAGATTTACTACCTTTACAAAGTTGCAAGTCTGATCCAATCCTACTTTGCGGTTCAACACCTGTAGAGTAAAGGGTATTAGACAACTATACTCTAAAATTAACTAAAAAAGTTTCAACCATTTGAAATGGGAAAGCGAAATAATCAGCCTTTTTAGTTTTATCTTTTGGCTGGAAAACTAGATGACATGTGATCTCAGAATCCAGATTAATCTCAGAAACCAGATTTCAGAGAAAGTAAACAGGTCTGATACTTCCAATTCTATCCTTCTAATTTGTTAATATATATTGTCAGAATAAGAAAACAGGTAATCTCTACCAAAATATATGACATCTTGCAAGAGCTAGCTTTACAAACAGAACTGGGGAGCAAAGCAAATACCTGTCCCCTAGATATCTGGTATTCATTGTTGTTGAGGCCTGTAACTGATGTAGAGCTGCATGATTATAGTAAAAATGGTGAGACTCTACAAAAATTGTTAGGTAAGAAGAGCAGATTACCATAAGGAATTTTACAGATCGTGTCATATACAATTTACCACTATAAGTAAAACAGAGCCGGTGATGAATTTGCAGGCCTCATTAACTGCTTCCATTGTGTCAATAAAAGATGTGAAACACAGGGTTGTGACATCTACCAAGCTCCTAAATGGTCAAGCATTCATCTTGTCGCGTCTCAACTTTCAGATGTTTAGTACCATTCTATGTCATAACTTAGCTCAAGATGTGAGATTGAATACAGCAGAGTCTAAGTCAATCTCAAGAGTCGTGAGATAAGTGGCATTTGCTGAACAGATTATTCACCAATAGCGCTAAAGTTCATCCTACAATAGCCATGGGATAAGGAGGGATCATGTTTACCCTTTCAGTTCTAGAGGAAGCATGTACACAAAGCATGCTAATTAGCGCATCGCCAGCATGAGATATCTATTATATCTGGTGGCGTGGCAAACTTTGCATTATATATCATGATGCAATTAGCAATATGGAATTTCATCAAATTAAATTCTGAATTTGACTACCAAGCTCATGGTAGGTAAGAGGGGGGGGGGGGGTGTCCACATATACAATTAATCACATTTCAGTTTGAACAACCGCCCAGTAAAGGATAAACTGAAATACAGGGCCCACATGATAGTGAGGAGCTCAACAATTCAAAGTATCTTCATTCACCTGAATCGAGCAATTTCTCTTAACGGCCCACCAATTCCACATCCTACGTCCAACACCTGCAGTCATATTCCCGGTTTCAACAGATAATTTGAAGTAGTAATCCTGTAAGTACTTCATTATGTCTTCTTTCCATTAATGAAAACATATGCAAGCCAAACCTTTTGTCCTGGTTTCAATCCCAGTTGCAAGGCAAGAAAGTGCTCATGCCTCTTAATGCTCTCTTGGAGTGATTCTCCTTTCCACCTGCAGGCAAAAGTGTGAATGAAATAGTAAGTAGTAATAACTAAGTGGCTGAAACCTAACATTCATTCACTTATGCATGAATGGACCATAATTAACAAACCTGGGTGCAAAATGGAATGACTCTCCCCAGCCGTATTCGTAGAAGCTAGTGCAAAGATCATAGTATTTGTTAACCTGAATGAAAGATTGTGTTACTAACTTTGCAGCTTCCAGAGTACATAATTGTGTTTCAACAAAATGTTCATAAATATTTTATGTTAGACAAGAAAGTGAATTGATGTGAGACAAAGATCCAATAGCTGAATCAAAATCTATTAACCAGCTAAGCCTCAATCTCAAACTAGTTGGGATAGACCACATGAATTTTCTATAACCCTTCCACTCTGTTCGGATCCATTTCATTCCAATATTGGCGTATAAAGAGATTCTCTAAATCCTGGCACTGAATTGAAAAAGGTTCAAGCCAAACATAGACTCATATAAGAGTAAATAAATAAATACAACAACGGTGAGAATGCACGGGAGAAAAATATAATATTACTTTTTTATAAGTGTTTTACAATAACCCTATTTATAACTATACACAATACACATTCTACTCCTATTCCATGTAGGACTACGGTAATTTACATAACTATCTAACACTCCCCTCAAACCGGTGTATACAAATCATATGTACCGAGCTTGTTACATATCATACTATATTTTAAGTGTGAAGGCCTAAGTGTAATGTTAATATACTAAAATATCCTTTAAATACTAAATGACCAAATTATGCTCTATCTAAAAGTAAATTACTTCTTTATAAACCGCTACATACATTAAATTAACCTCTGTTCGGTGTACTCAAAGTAAAGAACATATGAAGAGTTACAAAAAGTGTATTTTCATATAGACCAAATTCATCTCATTGTATCTGAATAGTCTTTCTTCATTAAAGTATTTAATGATGTATTTAAAATAAGATAAACGTAAGAAACATTCTTGTAGCATGCTAATATTATGACCAGTGAATACTTTCTTATTTGATATCTTTCATTATTTTTTTCCTTTCCGATTTTACCATTTTCTGATCATATTTTTCTTGCTCACATTCTGGAGTTAGTATTTTAATTTAGTTTAATCAAACTTCCACTTTCTTTTTTATTTCATTATTTTCTGATAATATTTTTCTTATATTCTTCCCAACCCACAGTAGATGGGAAAAGATTATATTGTTGCTTAAGAAATCCTTTTATCCCTTTTGATTGAGATGTGGAGCAACTATCATAACCTTATTGCATCTCTTCTTCCCAAATTGCTTTTACAATTCAAACTCAGAGCTCTACATTAACAATTATATACACAATACTTCTCGGAGCTAGTCTACCGGTGCATAGCATCGTACATGGACTACCTAACAAGAAAGCAATGAAGAAGATTATTGAATATCATCTGAATTTGAATGTGAAAAGGGTAGTAGTCTATCTTTTCTGAGGATATATTTTATTTATTTCACTACATAGTATTAAGTACAAAAGTGTATGTATCTGAAAAGTTATTTCTATTTAAGCAGATAGATTTAAATTATGGGTTAGCTATTTCACTGACAAAAAGTTGATACTATTTTTTTTATATGCTTAGTTGTTATTTTCTTTATCACATGGAATGAAATCCACATGATTATTGTTGTTTTACCGGGTCATAAGAGAAAAGAGTTATTAAGGAGATGCAGTCAAAACATGTTGATTCACACTGGTAATGTCTTTTGTAAAATGACACCTATTTACCCCTCCAATAAATTTATTTTCTTCATCCCTCCATGTAGTTCTTACACCACAAGAAATTATAGTGTTTATTTCTTTTTTAAGCATTCTATTTAACTTTTTTGGGTTACTTTTTGAATTGAACGTATTTTCTAATGTTTGATGTGAATAATATAATACTTTTTTCAACAGATTAAAACTCTATATGTTTGGTTCATGGGTTTATGTTTATTTTTTCATTTCGTTTGTTCATTGTTTGTTTTGTAATTAAAGAGCATGCCAGTTCTTTTTCTTTTCGAAATAGTTGAGATGTTCTTCAAAGTCTTATTTTTACTCATAAAACTATCTTTGTTGGTTGACTTGGTCTATGTCATTTCGTTCTTCGTTTAGATAGTCGATATATGCATAAGAATAACATGTTTAGATAATATTGATATGGTTTTCAAATATCGTGTGTATTGAATAAATCGGAATCCACGTGCAATGCACGTGCCGAAGAACTAGTATAACTAATACGAGGACCAGTGAGAAACTTGATGAAAATATTTGCAAGTTGATCATTTGAATTCACAAACTTTGTTGCAATATCTCCTAGAAGTATCTTTTCTCTAACGAAGTGACAGTCAATCTCAATGTGTTTAGTTCTCTCATGGAACTCCGAATTTGATGCAATATGAAGGGCAGAGCAACTACATTCTGTTTCTTGCTATTCCAAGACACCAAATTACCTCCTACTAAAACACAATATTCAGACGCAGAACGTCTATAAGAAGGTGATCCTGCCCTGTCAGCATCTGAGCATCCAACAATTTGCTCATGGCCTCGATCTTCAAACAATAATCCTTTGCCCGGAGAATGCGGATAACTGCATCCCAATGACAATCCCAGGGAGAATTCATAAATTGCCTCAACACACTCACAAGAAAGGAAATATCAGGTCTAGTCACTGTGAGCTAATTTAATTTACCAATCAGCCGCCTATATCTTGCAGGATCGTTAAGCAGCTCTCCCTGTCCTGGCAGAAGTTTAGAATTCGGATCCATAGGAGTGTCAACAGGTCTACAACCTATCATTCCTATCTCCTCAAGAATATTTAAGGCATACTTCCGTTGCGAGATCACAATACCTGAGCTAGACTATCCTAGGGAGAATCCATAAACTGCCTCAACACACTTACAAGAAAGGAAATATCAGGTCTAGTCACTATGAGCTAATTTAATTTACCAATCAGTCGCATATATCTTACAGGATTGTTAAGCGGCTCTCCCTGTCCTGGCAGAAGTTTAGAATTCAGATTCATAGGAGTGTCAACAGGTCTACAGCCTGTCATTCCTGTCTCCTCAAGAATATTTAAGGCATACTTCCGTTGCGATATCGCAATACCTGAGCTAGACTAAGCGACCTCGGTAGCCAAAAAATACTTTAATCTGCCTAGATCCTTTGCGGGGAAGTGTTGAAAGAGATGTTGCTTCAATATAGTAATATCATCTTGATCGTTGCCGGTAATTACAATATCATCAACATAAACTACTAGATTAATACAGAGATTTTAAGCAGAATGTCGATAAAACACAGAGTGATCAACTTCACTACGAGTCATGCCGAACTTGTGAATAACTATGCTGAACTTACCAAATCAGGCTCGAGGAGATTGCTTTAGACCATAGAGGGACCAGCGCAACCGACATACAAGGCCACTAGACTCCCTCTGAGCAACAAAACCAGGTGGTTGCTCCATATAAACCTCATCCTCAAGATCACCGTAAAGAAAAGCATTCTTTATGTCCAACTGATAGAGAGGCCAATGGCGAACAACAACCATGGATAGAAAAGGCGGACTGATGCTATTTTAGCCACGGGAGATAAAGTATCATTGTAATTGAGCCCAAATATCTGAGTATATCCTTTGGCAACAAGACGAGCCTTAAGCCGATCAATCTGTCCACCTAGACCAACTTTGACTGCATACACCCAATGACAACCAACTGTAGATTTACCCGAAGGAAGAGGAACAAACTTCCAAGTACCACTCGTATGTAAAGCAGACATCTCGTCAATCATAGCATGTCACCATCCTGGATGAGACAATGTTTCACCTTTAAACATAGTGGAGACTGAGGACACAAATGATACGAACGCATAATGGGGTGATGACAGACAATGGTAACTTAAACAGACATAATGGGGATTAGGATTAAATGTGGACCGTATATATTTCCGAAGTGCAATCGATTGACTAGAAGGAGACAAGTCTATAATAAGAGTAGCGTTAGGTGCAGGACGTGAATCGGTTGGGTCTAATACTGGGCGCGGACGATGATGATAAGTCGGGAGTAGTGCAGTTGTAGAAGGTTGAACTGGACTAGATAATGGAACTGGAGCTATAGGTGGTGGAGTTGGAACTGGAGCTGTAGGTGGAGCTGGAGCTGGAGATGAAGAGGAAGATGAATGGGAGGTAGTGACTGAATCTCCAAAAGATGGAACTGATAGCACCTCAGAAATATCTAAGTGATTACCTGGACCTGTGAAGTATGATTGAGTTTCGAAGAAGGTAACTCAACAGACATAAGGTACCGCTGGAGGTCAGGTGAATAGCATCAATATTCCTTTTGCGCTCTCGAGTAACCTAGAAACAAGCACTTAAGAGCACGAGCAGCTAACTTATCTTTTCCTGGAGTAAGGCTATGAACAAAACACGTGCTCCCAAAGACACGGCGTAGAAGAGAACAAAGGTGAGTGGGAAAACAAGACAGAGAATGGAATTTGATTATGGATAACTGAGGATGGCATACGACTAATAAGATAATAAGATGTAAGAACTGCATCCCCCAAAAACGCAACAGAACATGAGATTGTACGAGTAGGGTACGAGTAGTTTCAATAAGATGTCTATTCATTCTTTCACATACCCCATTTAGTTGAGATGTGTATGTTCAAGATGTTTGTTGAATAATCCCATGAGAGTTCATAAACTGCTGAAATGGGAAAGACAAATACTCTAGGGCATTATCACTATGAAATGTGCGGATAGAAATCCCAAATTAATTTTGAATTTCAGCGTGAAAGGTCTGGAAAATAGAAAATAACTCAGATTGATTTTTCATCAAAAATATCCTAGTGCGTCTGGAATAATCATCAATGAAATTGACACAGTAACAGAATCTCAAGGTAGAAATGACCCGACTAGGACCCCAAACATTTGAATGGACTAAAGTTAAAGGTGACTGCTCGATTATCAGGACGCCGAGGGAAATGAGAGTGAGTATGCTTACCGAGATGACATGACTCACACTCTAGAGTAGACGATTGAGATAAACCAAGTACCATTTTCTGAAGTTTTGACAAACTGGGATGTCCCAACCGATTATGTAATAAATCTGGTGAATCAGTAACAGGACGAGTTGTTGAAGGAAAATAAGATGTGAGTCCATGTGATTTTACAAGGATCAGGTAATAAAGTCCATTAGATTCACACCCGGTACCAATGATCCGCCCCGTACTGCGTTCTTGTATACAGACAAGGTCATCAAAAAATAAAACAGAGCATTTAAGTGATTTGGCTAAGCGGCTAACGGCTATGAGATTAAAAGGACTATCGGGAACATAAAGAATTGAATCTAAAGGTAAGGAAGGAAGTGAACTTGGTTGACCTATTCCAGTTGCCATGGTTTGAGACCCGATGGCCATTGTGACTGCGGGGAGAGATTGAGAACATAAAATAGTAGTGAAAAGAGATTTGTTACCAGAAATATGATCAGATGCACCTGAATCAATGACCCAAGACTCGGAAGATGAAGATTGGGAGAACAAGTCACGCTATTACCTGTTTGAACAACGGAAGCTATCTTTGAAGATGTATGTTTACATGCTTTATACTGAAGGAACTCAATATAATCCGGTAGAGAAACTATCCAACTATTAATAGTATAGGATCCCATTTTGCTACAAGCAATTTTTCAAATTCTTGACTAAAAGTTGTGTGGTTAACCTTAGAATGCCAAATCAGAACACTTAATTTTTTTGGAAAAACTATTCACTGCCAGAATCATTGTCCACTGCCGGAAAAACACTGTTCGCTGACGGAAAAATTTAGAAAATTATATGGGTCGAGTCGGAAAAAGAAGGCAACCCCCGTAGAAGAAAACCCAAACTTGGAATATGCTGGAAAATATGCTCATGCGCCGGCGCATGAACAGAACTCGCCGGATATTCTGGAGACCTTCCCGGCGCGTGTGGGTGCATGGAGCAAGATCTGCCGGAGGAGGTGACTGGGGCGTGGTCGCCGGACTATGGTGGATCTCGTGGCGGTGTTGGTTTTCGCACAACACCGCTAGATATGAAGGTTGATGCAGACAACCACTTAGGTAACCGGAAAATTGCATGGTGACTGAGTTCTTTCTTCCCAGATGTCGCTAGAATGACGCACATCGATCTTTTCTCACTGATGCTCTGATACCATGTGAGAATGCACGAAAGAAAATACAATATTGATTTTTTTGTAAGTGTTCTACAATACCCTATTTATAACTATACACGATACATACTCTACTCCTATTCCATGTGGGACTAGGGTAATTTACATAACTATCTAACAACAACTAAGTCCTAATTCTAACCGGTAGGAATTGCTGGTGTCGCCCGTGTGAATTATTTACTTCGTGTTATGTTCTTAGCAACTCTATTCACACCAACTTTGACAAGAACATCCTTTGAGTTATTAAACTTGTAAAGTTCTTTGCTGGTCTACAGGAAGGACAAGAATGTGTGAATTTGCATAACACAAAGCTACGCAAATTCTAGGTATTTGCTAAAAGATTGTAGGTATTTTGAAACAGCTTCTCTCCAACTTATTTTAGGTTTACACTTATCCCATTTTACCACCTTCAATCATCATAGTATTAAACCTACGGCACGGTGCATTGAGAGTCTATGTAAGACATGACCAAACCATCTAACGGTTAGGGAAAAATTTGAGACTAATGAAATAATGAGCTGCTATAAACCTAACCTAATCCAACTTCAATTCAGTTCAAATTTCTAAAAGTTAGCCTTTTCCTGAAATAACTGAACTGGCTTGTGCAACGTAGCACTTCTAGGCTCCAAAAGGCAGCAAATGTGATAATACAAAAAAGCTAAAATATGATTAAGAGGTCTCGCCGGGACTCATATTGGTTTCCTTACTTTTGGCTACAACCAAAAGCAATAACATTTCTGCCTCAAAGATCACCATAGCTTTAGTAATTTTTAAGAGATCTCAATAATTCAGCTTTTGGAGCTAAAGTAAAACAAGAAAGAATTTATCTTCATTGATAAAAGAAAAGTATGTCATCTTAGTTCATTTTATTCAGCAAAATCACATCAAAAGAGTTAGGAGCAGGGTGTAAAACTCACTTTTTCTTTCTTATAAGCCAATAACACCTCCTTTCAAGGTGTGTGCACAAAATCACTCATCAATTGCTGAAACAGTTTCGGATGTTGTTTTGCTAACTAGATATAACGTGTGATAGTGTGAGGTCTCTTTCTTTCCACGTCACTTACAGGCTCAAATAGGAATATCAATATGCAATTATACAGCAAGAGCAAAGCTTTACATGATCAATCAATGTCAAATGGATGACATGAGGATTACCAGAGAATACGAGATTGCCAAATCCAACAACTTTCAACTACTATGCATAGATTGTGAACACTGATTTCTAAAGCATTATAATTATAATAAATAATAGAAATGTTTCTCACCATGTCCGTATAGTTATTCTTTCTCTCTTCTTCTTCACCTCCGTAATAACCATGGTACTTCTCATACCTAGTTCATTTGACAAAATTTTAAATCAACAAATACATTTAGAAAAATGATAAGATTAACAATCATACAAAACAAAAAGAAACAAAAAAAAAATGGAAGAAGGAAAATAAACTGCAATTCGGAAAGCGATTGCGAGCAGAAGTTTGGTGTCCATTTCTGATCAAAACCTCTTTGACTTCAGGAATTTCTCTTTTTTGTAGTAGACACAATTTTATTACTACAAGAAAAACAATAACTAGTACTACTCCATCCTTTTGATAGCTGACCTCTTATATTATTAAAATTAAATGACAAAAAACAATATGGCAATTTTTTTGACAGGAAATTAAGCAAGGTGGAGGGAATTTTCTGGACTCTAAGGACCTCAAAGAAAAAATTTGGTCCTTCAAAAATTGTGTTGGCAGAGAAATATCATTAACTTATCAAGCAACAACAGGTTCATTAAATAATATAAGTATCAAGGTACATTATGTGGGCACTATTAATAACAACCAGACAAAAAAAGTTACAGGAAGTAGCTCAACGTAATCTTTGAGAAAATGACAGATCATCATCACTACTCCACCAAACATGTTTATGTATTACAGAATAGGATCTACAGTATAATCACAATAGAAATCTTTGTGATACAGCCCTATTAATTAATTATATCATGATTCTTAAGTGTAACAGATCAATCTCTACAAATCTCAGATTTTTAATTTGAATTACACATAAAAAGGGAGAGAGAAGAGGGAATACTTGTCAACAGCAGAGAGAACTTCCTCCTTGTTAATTTTGCCACCAACCCCAGATGCCAGATCAAAAGCCCCTTGTTTTGACATTTCTTTCCCAAATCACAAGATCTATAAACAAAGAAAAAACCCACATGTATGATAATAAAATCCCAAAAAAAAAAACAATTTTTACAATGCAGAAGAAGCTTACATACATACAGAGAATAGAAGAATAGGTAGAGAAAGGATCTCTGTATTCTTGGAGAGAACCTTTCACCTTTCAAGAGAGAAATGGGAAAGAATATAATAAAACAGAGACAGATCGTAGAAAGCAGATGTACTTTGAGGAGTTGCGTGACAATTTACAATATGTATATGTATATAAATACAAACACTGCCAGCCAAGAAAAACTTGGAGACAGCAAACAGAACATAACAGAACGAGAAAGTGTGGTGGGGCCACGTCAGCACGTGTTTTGCACATCTTATAAGTAGACTACTATAAGATGTAGTAGTAGTAGTAGAATACTATTAGGACCCGTTTGGCCATAAATTTTGCCCGAATTTATTTGGATTATTTTAGCAAATAGGTATTTGTTCATAAATTTTATCTATATTTTGAAAAATTGCCAAAAACCAAATCCCAAATTTTAATCCAAAATATTACAATTATATTTTTTAAAAATTAACCCAAACTTTTGTATTTTATAAAAAAAGCCACCATTTATTATTTTGTAACAATGTTGTTTCGTCTTCTCGGTCATCTGATAGTGTATTATGTAGTTCATTATAAAAATGATAATTTTGTACCAAATTTATTTATGTTCAGGACTATGGTTTGTGATAATATAATGAATGTCATTGATGAATGTACTATTGGGTATTTGTGATAGTTTTTAGAACTTGTAGGTATAAGTCATGTTTCATGTTTTTTTTTGTTTAAAAAAATGTAAAATATTTTTTGAAAACTGATGTCCAGACATATTTTCATCTTCAAATAAAACTTCAACCAAATCAGATTTTTTAAAATAAATTTGGAAAAATATGGCCAAACGCTAACTTTAGTAGTTTTTTCCTAATATAAAATCAAGACTCCTAGGGAAACGAAAAGAGAAAAACAAACTCCCCTAGGGAACTTTGAACTCTATTGGGATCACACTTATTATTATGCCCGGTTTTGATTTACTTAGGAGTGAGTGCTCTTCGCCAAATCCAAAAGGAAGAGTGAAAAATAATCCATAACTTGGAATTGGAAGTCGGCAATGTGGAGTTTCTACTTCCATTTTTATTTTCTCGATTACAAAATTTTCTCCATACTAAAATTTGAGGAAAAAAGTTGAAATATACCCCCGTTTGGCCGCTCTTAGACCTTATTTGTTTGTACTTAATGAAGGTCTGAATATTAATTATTCAGATTGCGTTTATTTTTTGAAATTTGAATCTTAATTATTCAGATCTTAATCATTAAGTATGTTTTTTTTTTACTTCACAACCACTTAATATGTTTGAATAGGCCTGTATGATTAATATCTATAACAGAGACTTAATTTCATTAAGATGTTATCATCTATATTCATTATTAATTATCGTCACCGCCTACCGTTATCAACTACCACTATGCCACCACCATCACCACCATACTCAACCACCACCCTCATCCTCAATCATAGACGTCGCCATTATCGACTACCACCACCCACCATCCTCACCACTCCAAACACCATCATTCTCAGCTACAACTAATAACCATCAACCTCAACTACCACAACTAACCACCTTATCACCATCAACAGCCATAGCTGGCACTGCACATTATTGTAAATTACCACCACCTTCCTCAATCACAACTACCACCACCACCCACCATTATTAACTATCACCACCCACCCCCACCATCCTCAATCATAATCGCCACCACTAGCTATTACCATGAACCACCACTATCAACCAAAACTACCACCAACCACTGCCTCTAGTCGGCATTCACAAGCACCACCGTTAGCCACTACCACCAGCAACTATCATATTTTAAAGACATTATATATATA